CTTAGAACTGAAGAGGCATCTCGGATGAGAGGTGAGACGTGTTGAGAAACGTAAAGAAGTCCACACGGTTTTCTTTCCAAGCTCTTTAAATTATTGTAAATGTACAAGAGTGAAAGTTTATCACACCATCCACCTCTGCCTGTAATCCAGCATTCCCCTCAGCAGATATAAACACGTTTACAGCAAATACAAAAATTGTTCCGGTCTATTTTGTCTTCCAGGGGCCAGAGCAGGCAACATTGAGGGAAATTTAAAACTGCTGGCTAAATGTAAACATGAATTCAGTAAAATTGTAATTCACTTCAGCAGTAATGACACCCGGTTACGTAATTCCGAGGTCACCAAAATCAATGTTGAATCGGTGCGTAACTTTGCCAAAACAATGTCAGACTCTGTAGTTTTCTCTGGTCCCCTCCCCAATCAGACCAGGAGTGACATGTTTAGCCGCATGTTCTCCTTAAATTGCTGGCTGTCTGAGTGGTGTCCCAGAAACGATGTGGGCTTCATAGATAACAGGCAAACCTTCTGGAGGAAACCTGGTCTTGTAAGGAGAGACGGCATCCATCCCACTTTGGATGGCGCACCTCTCATTTCTGGAAATCTGTCCAAATTTATTAAACCCCCCAAAATATGAGGCAGGGGACTCTCCTGGGAACAACAAGCATAAGCGGAGGTGCAGCAGACGGGGAGGAGCTGACCGAAGGCGCTTGGTTAGCAAAAGAAGGTTAACCCTCCCGGTCATACTCCTTGCCAATGTTCAGTCTTTGGAAAATAAAATAGACGAATTCCATGCTCGAATTTCCACGCAAAAGTCAGGAGTGCTCCATACTGTGTTTTTGCAAAATACTGGCTGGGGGAGAGAACACCCGATAACACCAGATAGTTACAGGGTCTTCAGAGCGGGCGAAGTACTCCGGGCAGTGACAAGATACGCGGCGGAGGAATGGCCGCCCTCATCAAACAATCGTGGTGTACTGACTGTAAGATCATTTCAAAATCCTGCTCTGAAAATGTGGAATTTCTGACTTTGATTAAGGCCTTGTTATTTGCCTAATTTTATACAGCAGAGCAGTTTACCAGTCCTGCTGGTTTGGTGTTATAATGATGTGATAGGAAGGTTAACATGAATCTGCTAAATGCAGGGAGAATCCAGAAAAAATGGCCATAAGCTCTGACCTCACTTCCTGTCTGTCAGGAACCTTCCAGATGTCACAGCAGAGGATTTTTCAAAAGTTCACCTTCATCAGTTCAAGTGGATCCACTGGGAGGTGAGTAAAGTCCAGTAAACGAGCCAATCTAACCTAGTATTAAACTGACATTGGTAATCAGAATTTTAAATTAAGATCATAAACACAACCTGTTAATGATGAGTAACCAATCAGAAAACACCTGTCACCATCTTAACACCTTTCCAGCCTGCACTCCTCAGAGGTTTGTGCTCATTTAGAAACAATATTTTCACCAGAAGACTTAAAAAACAAAACACATTAATTTGAAATTGATCAATGATGATTAATTCATTAAACAAAAGTGCACTCTAACCCACTGGAAACCGTTTTGTCTCATAAATCTTGTTTGTTTGCTGTCACACTTTAACTCCTGTAGGGCCGAAACGCAGAGGAGCAGGTGAAGATGATCCAGCAGGTAGAGCGATATAACAGCATGTTGCCACAGCAACAGAAGATCACCATTTCCGTAGAGATAGAGAAGACCAGAGAGCCGCTGTACCAGCTGTTTCCTCATGGCGATGTGGTGAGAGCTTCTGTGCCAGAACCAGGAGAACATGAACTGCCCACTCTACCAGACAAAATGTTATTGCCTGTTTTCTGTCACGTGTTGCGAGTTCATCGCGGTTTCATGTCTTTAGGTGTTTGTCAGTAAGGACGTTGCTCGTGATTTTGGGTTTGAGTCAGCTGAAGCTGCCCTGAAAGGACTTTACAGTCGAGTCAAACAGGGGTGAGCGGTCACAGGTCAGCAGTGTAACATTAGTAACAACCATAGAAATAAAAATATGATGCCATCCTTCCTCAGGGCCATCCTGATCTGTGCCTGGGCAGAAAAAGGAGCTGATGCTTTGGGTCCTGATGGTGTGATCATTCATTCTGATGCATTTCCTCCTGAAAGTCTCGTTGATACACTTGGAGCTGGGGACACCTTCAACGCCGCTGTCATCTACACACTGTCCAAGGGTGAGACTTTTAAACATCTATGTAGCAGGAAGCCAGCAAAACCTCAGTATTCTGTAGCAAAAAGCTTCATTAATATAGTGCTGATCCTGATACACTACAGAACAAAACCTGTTTTAACATATATCCGTTGTTGTAAGTGTACATGGATTGGCTCTTATATAATCCTTTTCTACGCTACTTGAGCACTCAAAACTTTATACAACATGCCTCATCCACCCATGGACAGACAGTTTTCTATCCACAAGCTGTGCGACTTGGGGTCCTATTTTGGCATGCACACTGGAGCAGCCAGGAACCCAATCACGACCGTTCAGGTCGGTGACCTGCTCCCATGACCCCACGGAGGAACAGATGAGATGAAAACATTTCGACACAGGACCATCACAATAAGACTGTTAATTAAATTAAAACTGTTAATTAAACTTCCCTTTAATTAACTTTTATTTATACAGCACCAAATCACAACAACAGTCGCCTCAAGGTGTTTTATATTGTAAGATAGACCCTACAATAATACATACAGAGAAAAACCCCATATGACCCCCTATGAGCAAGTACTTTGGCGACAGTGGGAAGGAAAAACTCCCTTTTAACAGGAAGAAACCTCCAGCAGAACCAGGCTCAGGGAGGGGCGGGGCCATCTGCTGTGATTGGTTGGGGTGAGAGAAGGAAGACAGGATAAAGACATGCTGTGGAAGAGAGACAGAGATTAATAACAGATATGATTCAGTGCAGAGAGGTCTGTTAACACATAGTAATGCCCTTTAATTCCCCTTTACTTTTAAATAAAATAAATCAGTAACACCTGAGGACTGATTAATTTAAAAGATCAATGTTTTCTGTCTATAGGTGGAAGTTTGCAAGATGCCCTAACCTTTGGCTGCAGGGTTGCTGGCAGGAAGTGTGGTTTCCATGGTTATGACAGCATCAGCAAAGTCTTCGATGACATGCAACCACAAAGTTTGTTTTAGGGAAACCCAGTCCACAAAAGCACATGACCACATGAAAAACAATGTGTAAACATGAACATGCGTGTTAACATGAAAGTGTTTGAAGTCACAACTGAAATTTTATCTAATTTTCAGTTTAAGGAAAATCATCTGTGGTATAAGGGATCTGCATAATTACAATCAGTAACTGACATTTAACATCCATTAGTTCATTCATTCACAGATCAATAACTGGATTATTGTTCAATAAATTATTAACTGAAGTGACAGAAGCAAACGTTTCTTTGGAGTGTTTTTACTTGGTGGAATTAAATCTCACTGATCAGTGATCGGGTTGATTGTTTTTGTCCTGATAGTTTGTTTTTCATTAAAACAATCACCACTCAATGGTCAGACACAGCTTCCTTTCATTCTCTCTACAAATAACCGTGTCAGGGTACTCACTCGCAAGGTCTGGTTTCCTGCGCAGAAAGGAACAAAAAGACAACAAACATGTTTTTATTGAAGACCCAATTCTACTAACGATTTCCAGTTTAACAATCAGGCATCAAACGACTGTTGTACTCCAGCTTCTCACAGGTGAGTTAAGCATCCCAGGTGCAACTGGCAGTGGCAAGCAGGAAGGGCCACCTCTAAAACACAAGGCATAATTGGCACACATACACATGAGTGAGAGCGATGGAGAGAGGAAATTGAGTCATCAGAACCACAACAATAGCAGAAAGCTTGCTGAGCACCAGTTCAGCTCACTGGGATGAGCAGGTGACCATATGCCTCTCAGTTTTAAGAAAGGCTGGTGACGCCTGTTATAGAGTCTGGCAGCTGCAGGGATTATATACAAATATTCAACTGGGGGTTAGGGTTTAAAAATTAAACCAGGTCTAAATTTAAAAAAAAGACTTTATAAGATAGACCTTCTGAGTATCACTACAAAGATTACCAACAGTGGTCCTCATACCACAGTTTGATATCAGCAAACACTGAGAGCATACATTGATATGACACCACAGCCATGCTATCATTCAAACACTGATAACAGCATAAATCGAATTAAATCGGGACTTGATGAGACCTTCCAAGTATCACTAGAAATATTATAAACAGTCGTCTCCGTACCACAGTTTGCTTTCAGTAAACACTGATAGCATACCACATCCATGTTAGCAGTGTATAAACGGATGGTTTAGCATATATTAGCACAGGTATCAATAAAGGACTACCGTATTAAACACTTTTACTAACCTCAAGCAGATGGACAGGCGCTCTGCAGGTGGGATTGAGCGCCTGTAGTTGTTGTCTAGGTGGGCGATGCTTGGACCGCCGCGGGACAGCAGCTCCTCAAACTGGGCGAAGGAGAGACGGTGGTATCGCTGAAAGCGGCCGTCATCCAGGCGCAGCTCCTGGAGCAAGTGGTGAAACTCACCAAACTGCTCACGCTTCTGGAGGACCTGATGGACCCAGGTACGGCGAGGACGTCCTTTACGCCGCTGCTCTGCTCTCCACAGTAAATAGAGAAGGGAGACTCTCTATTCAAACACTAGATCAACAGCTGCCATCTTGCAAACATACCATCTGGCACTACTTCCTCCCACATTTCCACGAATAATTGCGTTGGACACGCGTTGAGGTGCGAATGTGCACGGGTCAAGCTAGGGGCGTCTGGCACGTTTTGGTCGTGTCCGTCGCGTTCAGTGTGAACACACCGTAATGACAGAATGGCAGCTGTTTTTTATGAGCGGAAGTTTTAATTCAGTTCAATTCAATTTTATTTATACTGCTCCAATTCAAAACAAGTCACCTAGAGGCGCTTTATATTGTAAGGTAGACCCTACAATAATCAAACATAAACTGCTGACAGGTCTCAGGTTTAGCTTTCAGTTTATTTTGAACAGGTCCATAATCTTTAATGTTCAGGTAAGTACAGGTGAGACAGGTTTTCCAGCAACAGCACAGATGAAAAATAAAATCTCCTGAGTGGTTTCCAGTATTATCATGTAGTTTTAACCTGTTTACACTTCCTAATGAGACAAAAAGCGAAAGATTCATCAGGTCAAAGACATCTAAGTACATCAGACACCGAAGCATTTTCTCCCCGATCGGCTTGACAGTGATGAATCGTGTTTCATGTGTAAACTGAGCCAATGAGGAGGCTTCCAGCTACCTGACATTCAGGTGTAAATAGAAACAACATGAATCAACATGAAGTGAGAGGTTTTAGAGAGAACATGAAATATAAATTGATGTTCTCGGGCAGAACGTCAGTTCTTTAGAATAAACTAACAAAAGGTTAAAGAAATAAACCTTGACAGTTACCACATGATCACTTTTCTGCCCACTGGAACAACACCCTCAGAGGGGGGGCAACTTTAGAGTTGTTCTGACACAGTGTTGTCATGGATACAAGTGTTTCCCTTCATGTTTGATTCAGTCCTTCGTATTTATATTGTTTGACCTTCACAGCGTCAGCGTGCATGTGACCTATGGTGAACAACACTGTCTGAACTATAATTACCTGTAATCTTGAAGATAATCTATGAATAATACATTAAACTGTGAGAAGGAGTAATAGTGTCTGTAACTGTAACCTTGTTAGTTTGGACTCATTGCAAGGTGTAAGGCTCACTGTGCTGCTGTCAGTTCTTTTCTGATCTGTTCATCATATACTCATCCTTTTAATGATGTGTTGTATATATTCACATTAATTGTAGATCTATGTAAACCCTGCGTATGAACATTTAGGCAGTGCTGGTGGTGGCGGTGGAGTTGGCAGTCTGTTGCTCCATCTCTGAGCTTCCTACCACCATTTCTCTCAGCCCTTTGCTGAAGTGAAGATTTGCTCCGATCACGATGAAACCCTGCAGAGATGGAACAGCTCCTGTCAGCCAGGGGGCAGCACTGAGTTTATTTCTGCATAAATCTGACTTTTAAAAAAAGAAAGCCTAAAACAAATAAAATGATAATACAAGACTTTATTATAAAAAAATGTGTGACGCCCACAAGTGTATGGTCACAATTGTAATTTTTTTGTAAATTGTTTTTTTGATGGTGGTATTGCACTTTTCATTTAGAGTTATGGAGAATGTAATTGCGTGGCATGGCCACAAGGGGGAGGTAGTGGTGAGCGCGATAGGCCGTTGCAACGCTCCTGTGCCTCAGACGAGGAAGAGCCTGCAAACCGAATGCAACTCATGTCTCCTATCAATGCTTTTCTGTTAAAAAAAAAAACAGGTTAGTAGCCCAAGTTTGCTAACTGCAACGCACACATAAAAGCAAGAAACCTTTTTCTGTCTTAATTTAAAGACCGCGAATGTTGTGAGAGAGTGTGTTTTCACAGATTGAGATAAAGCTAACCTTACCGCCATTTGTAATGGGAATCCGCCATTTCACTTGTATTCTAAAGAGGTAACTGGTCTTATTATCTGTTTTATTTTATGACAAATGCAGCTCTTAGACACATTTCTTTTATACTGACATTATTGGAAGTTACAGTTGATTAAGATTATTCCAACCTACCCAGTTATCATGTGTCAAACGATTGTAAACTGTTTGTGAGCAATGGAAGAATTTTTTTATTTTATTTACAAATGTAATATATCGTTTGAATCTGTTAAAATATAAAGAATGTATAATGGAATATAAGCAGGTTAATTGCAGTGTTAATGGTACTGCACAGAGATATAATTAATGCTTAACAGCAGTAGAATTTGGTTACAGATTTATTGTAAAAAACCATACAAAATAATAATTGTATATGATTAAGTTTATTCTCGCAAGAAAGCAAGGTAACCAAAAGGGTTTAACCTATGGACCTGATTGAATGTGTTTTTGATGTTAAAAGAGAAATGTGTGTGTCTAAATGAAAAGAAAAGAACGCTGTTTAATTCTGTTAATAAATCAGACAAGGAAGAGCCTGCAGACCGAATGCAACTCATGTCTCCTGTCTCTGGTTTTCTGTTAAAAAAACAGACCCTATTGAAGGCCTGTAACAAATGCACCAATCTTACATCTCTGAGGTATGTTTTTGTTTTTTCTTTAATATGGCAGTTGGCAGAGGTGCACCAATCAGAGTGCACTTACATCAGTCACAGGATTTTCCTGTTTGGGAGAGTATCTGTCCTGAATGCAGAGCTAGAAAAGAACTAATCAGCAGTTTGAAGAAGTTGGGTTGTTCTCAGTTCCTTCAGAGTGTGTTGGATCAATTAAGACTTTGGAAAAGTTCCCGAGGTCTCACAGCTCACCATCACTGACCAGAAAACAAATTCTGAATTACAGCTGCGGAGCATCAACTCCAGAACATCTGAGGACTGAACTTAAGAGATTCAGTAAGACAGCAGTCCTAAGCTCACAAACTGTTCCATCCCAGAAGAAGAAAGAGTCCAAATCCTGAAATGCTTCTGTGAGTAAACCACAAACATCTCAGTGCTAAAGTTGTCGAAGGAATTAAAGTCCTCACAAGTGATGTTCAACAGTTAAAGATGAGAAAATCCAGCAGATCCAGAGGTTCACACACAGAAATGTCATATCAGGTCATTTATCTTATTTAAATCACAACAACAGTCGCCTCGAAGCGTTTAGGTTGAGGTAAAGACCCTACAATAATACGGAGAAGGATCACCACTGCATTTGGTAACAAGTGCACTCGTGGGTCAAAATGTTCACCAGTACTGAATATCCAGTGACATGGGAACAGTAAAATAATTCTATTTAACCTCAGACACACACAGCTAGATGCTCTTCGGGGTCAGTCGGCTCACTGAAATGATTTATCTGCCACCTCAGTTGTGGTCCCAACTCGAGAACAAGAGCTCAAACTGCCCGACTGACATCCTGAAATATGACCGAAAACTCCTCTCTCTTCCTTTTGTTTCTTAGCAACATCAGGACCCGCTCATCATCACTTCACGTGTACTCTGTGTTTGTCAGTGCATTTTTGAGGACAAATTTTCCATAAAAGCACTTTCGATGTGCATCTATTTACACAACAGGTTTGCACTCAAAATATTTGAAAATTTATTCAATTTTTTTCGCAATCCACTCAATGTGTTACAACTAATCAAAATCAATTTTATGTTTTATTTTCATAAATATGAAAAAAGGCTAAAACTCCTCAAATAGTCGAGGGGTAAAATCACACTCACGTTATGATATTCAACCACCTCCTCAATGAAATCCATCCCATCAGCCAGCGGGATCCGAACGCCTCTCTTTGTCCAGTCTAAGAGAGCACACACAAACAGAGTGACACTGTCACGGTGTGTTCAGGGTCTGTGAGTTTTTTGATTGATGAATTAGGTTCTTACTGTTGATCAGTGGAACTACAGACATCTGCAGCATCGTCTTTAGAGGAGCCTGCAGAGGAATCAACTGCAGACACACAGAGAGGTTTTAGGGTGTATACGCTTCATGTTTTGGTCAGAACATGTAAAAATCAGGGAGAAAGTGTTTGTTCTGTAGTTTTGTGTCTTGTGGAGATCAGAGAAATATTTTACTGCTATTGTTCATGGTCATCATCATTATCATTGCATTAATAACATAATCTACAGCATTGATATTGTATTCAGATGTTTAAACATATTGGCACCCAATCAGCCTTTATTACAGGTGCAGTTATAACCACTTTAAACTGTTGAGTTAAATCTATAATCTTAAATGCTTTTGAATGATTTTCATAATCTTAAATGTTTATATGCAGATTATATTGCATTATAAAAGAAAGGCCTAACTCTGAGTACACTCTGTGCCAAAGTAGACAGGAAGCGCAGGCTTTTGCAGAGCGTGCTTGTGAAAGTGAAACTAAAGCAGAGTCTAAGTGTGAGTTATTTTGAGGAGCAGTTTGGATGGGGCTATTTGAATAACCAGGTTATTCATTGTTATCTTTTATTCTTTTATATTCTTTTATTAAGTTTTAAGTAGTATCATTTGATTAAAACATTTATTCAATATAAAATGTTTATGAAACACATATAGTTTCAGTTGCGTACGTGCTGGCCTTCTGTCTGGTGGAAAGGTTTAGCTGGTGAGGTGAGAGGTGAAACTGAGTGCATTTCAGGTCGACACAAACACACACAGTAGATGGACTCATTTATAGGTGAAAGTTTAATCATATTTTGCTTGTGACTGCAAAAGAGCAGTTTGTTGCAGAATGTGTGCCTGATGTTCCAGACGATAAGCGAGCGTCTGGCAGAGACAGGAAGACACCTGGCATGGAGACGAGGCGATGTTGCTTTTTCAAACTGTGTTAAAAGTCATTGTGGTTTTGAAACGTATGCATGTGATGACGCATGAGGGGGCATTATAAATTTCCCTGATGATATAAAACAACTGATTGTGTATTGTTCGAGAGAGATCGATGCTGTCTGCGTACAGTGTTCATCTCTCCACGCGTGTGTTCATTAAAATCATCTTAACTTAACCCGGCCGGACCAGTGTTGTTATTTTGGATTTCTTCCTATATCCCTCCTCAATATTTGAACCCTTAACAGTCTCCTTGCTGTCTCATTGAACCAATTACTGTAAGATGAAAACAAACTTACCGCCAGAGACTCGAGAGCTGACTGGTTGGAGAAGATCTTAAACCTGAAAGGTGAAAAAAAGTCAATAAATAATCAATAATCAAGTTGTGCCATAAAACGGTGGATCATTACGAAGCCAGTTTTAACCAACATGGCGATGGTGTTGGTGATGAGTTCGTTCTGTTGGAGAACCGGTGTGAGAGAATAATGTGGTGGGTTAGAGTTTTTCCTTCCTGTGGAAGGTGAGCGATGACAGGTGTAGTCCGTGGTGTCAGGGGTGTGTGTGGGTGAGAGGACCCAAACGCAGGAATAGCAGGTAGGTGAAGACTGGTGATTTATTGTAGACAATGGAGAAATTAACAGAACATGAGATGGCTGACTGACTGGACGACTGAAAGACTGGCTGAATGACTGAATGGCTGACTGAGCATAGGGCACACACAGGAACAACAACATCAATGACAAGACAATGACCAGGTTGAAACTGAGGGCTTAAATACACCGGCTGACTGATTGGAGACTGGTGAGTGAGCAGCTGAACACAGAGTCCAGAGTGAATCAGTCCTGGTGGGTGGCCGTGTGGCCAGCGGTGGCATTGGAGTCGATCTTGTGGGCGGCCACGTGGCCAGCAGTGACGCTGGAGTCGATCTGGCGGAAGGCGGCGGCGGCCACTCAGCAAGTCCAGAGGCCGGCTGCGAGGAAGACAGCGGCAGCCACTCAGCAGGTGCGGAGGCTGGCCGCGAAGAAGACGGCGGCAGCCACTGAGCAGGCCTGGTGGCCGGTAACGGCGAGGAAGGTCAGTGAGCGGCCTGTAAGGTGGCCACCGATGCCAAACCCGATGTGGACGAAGCAGTGGCAATCGCTTGATCAGGCGGTGTGGAAACGTCTGGCTGAGGAGAGAGAGCTCACAGCTGGCTCTGGGTGCTGTGACTGCAGATTTGGGAACAGAGCTAAAAACTGACTGGGAAGTTGAACAGCAGGAGACTGGACTGCAGACTGGAGGACAGGAGACTGAGCTACAGGTGACTGAACTGAGGATGGTGACAGTGCTGCAGCCTGAGACAATAAACCGGGAACATGAGATGGAAACAGATCTGCTCATTTACTAAGGGAGTGAGCTAGGGCCTGAAAAGCTGGATGAGGATGTGGATAAGGTGGTGAACGGGCAGGTCAACATGCTAGCTCTTCCAATCCATCCTCCAGAGCGCGAGGGCAATGCCTGGAGAGCCTCAGCTGAGTCTCTAGGGAGGTCAGGTTAGATCCTGGCCGCCCTCACCTTGGGTGCTGGGACAGGCGTGGGAGCTAGCTGGACATCAGTCACCCCCACCCAAGATACAGGAAGGGGGGTAGGAGTGGACTGAGGTTCAGCTGCCCTCGCTCTGGGAGCTGGCACGGAAATGGGTGTTGGCTGGGCATCAACTGCACCGTCCCGAGGGCCTGGCACGGGTTCGGCGACGCGCTGAGCCCTAGCCACCCGAGGAGCTGGGACAGGCTGAGCGTTAGCAGCCTTCAACTGAGCAGGTAGAACAGGTGAAGGGGAAGGCTGAATCCGATCAGTCTCTTTGGAAACAGAACGATAATGAGTAATAATTGGATAGTCCAGAATGTAATCACAGTATACAGTCTTTGATTTAGATCATTGGCGAGCAGTCCCTGAGTTGTGGTGAGGAGAAAAAAAGTCAGTTTAGCTCACCACCGGATCTTGCTGCTCCAAACCGGTAACACGAAGGCTGCATGAGCCTCGTCTCCCCTGAACAAAAACAGCTGAGCTGCTGAGCAAGGGAGCCTCCATAGAGCCGAGGTGGGAGGTGGAGCCGTCGTGGCACAGGGAGGTTGAAGGTCCAGTGAATGAAGCGGCTGGCGGGCGAGCGAGAAGCGGAGCGGCGAGAGAGCGAACGGCCGAAGCTTGGCCAGTGATGCCCACTCTCCGCGGTGAATGCTCCGATGCAGGTGAGGCAGCAGGTGGGGGACCACGGCGTCTCCGAGGGCTGCCCAGAGCCAGGCGAAACCCCTCGAAGATGTGCTCTCTTTCAATTCAATTCAATTCAATTTTATTTATATAGCACCAAATCACAACAAAAGTCGCCTCAAGGCGCTTCATAGATACAGAGAAAAACCCAACAATCATATGACCCCCTATGAGCAGCACTTTGGCGACA